ATATGATTCTGGGCAAGTTACTTAAACTCTCTGTTTTGGGTACTTCATTGCGAAAATGGTAATAATGGTACCTATTTCATGGGATTGTTATGAGAATTAAATGATTTTTTTTATCCAAAAAACAACAAAAAAGGTTCTCAGAACAGTGCTTAGCACATAAGAGTTCAATAAATATAATCCTTTCTTAAGGATAAACTTATTTCCTATTAAAATAAAATGCTTTTGAATTTTTATTACTAAAAACCATTGGTTGTATACTTTAAGTGGGTGAATTGTATGGTAGGTAAACTATATCTCAATAAAATTGTTTTCAAAATGGTTATACATGAGTAGTACAGACATTTTAATGATGTTCATTCTTCCTATTGATGAACACAATATATGCTTCCATTTATTTGTATCTTTTACAATTTCTTTCTTTAGTGTCCTATAATTTTCCAGGTACAGGTCTTTTATAACCTTGGTTAAATTTATTCCTATGTATTTTATTCTTTTTGAGGCAATTGCAAATAGGATTGTTTTCTAAGTTTCCTTTTTTAATAAGTTCATTTTTGGTGTATAAAAATGCCACTGGTTTCTGGGTATTTATTCTGTATCCTGCTACTTTACTGAGTTTATTTATCGGTTCTAGTAGTTTCTTGGTGGAATCTTTGGGGTTCTCTATGTACAGTATTATCCCATCTTCAAATAATGACAGTTTTACTTCTTCCTTTCCAATCTGGATACCTTTTATTTCTTCTTCTTGTCTGACTGCTGTGGCTGGTACTTCCAGCACTATGTTGAATGAAAGAGGTGAAAGCAGATATCCCTGTCTTGTTCCTGATCTTAAGAGGAATGCTTATATTTTTTGCCAGTTAAGTATGATGCGAAGTTCGTCATTAATGGCCTTTGTTATATTTATGTATATGTTCCTTATAAACTCATTGTGCTGAGAGTTTTGATCATAAATTGTTGCTGGATTTTATGAAGTGTTTTTTCTGCTTCTATTGATATGATCATGTGGTCTTTATCCTTCATTTTGTTTGTGTGGTGAATCACATTTATTGATTTGCGAATGCTGTACCACCCTTGCATTCCTGGAACAAATCCCATTTGATAAATGTGTATGATCTTTTTGATGAACTGCTGTAAGTAGTTTGCTAGTATTTTATTGAGGATTTTAGCATCTATGCTCATTACGGAGGTTAGTCTGTAAGTTTCTGTCTTTGTAGTGTCTTTATCTGTTTTTTGGTATTTGGGCAATGCTGGCCTTGTAAAATGAATTTGGGAGCATTCCCTTCTCTTGAATTTTTTGAAATAATTTGAGAAGGAGAGGTGTTAGTTCTTTTCAGAATGTTTGGTAAAATTCTCCTGTGAAGCCATCCAGTCCAGAGCTTTTGCTTGTTAGGAGTTTTTTGATTACTGCTTCTTCACTAGGTATAATCTGTCTATTCAGATTCTATGATTCTTCCTTACTTAGTTTTGGAAGATTGTATGTTTCTAGGAATTCATCCATTTTCTCCAGGTTGTCCAACACAATTCCTACAAAGATTCCAATGATGTATTTCACAAAACCAAAACAAATATTTCAATAATTTATATGGAACCACAAAAGACTCCACAGAGCAACAGCAACAGCAATCCTGAGGAAGAAGAACAAAGTTGGAGGAATCATGCTACCTAATAACAACTATACTATAAGGCCGCAGTAATCCAAACAGCATGGTACTGGCATGAAAAACAGACACACAGATCAGCAGAACAGAACAGAGAGCCCAGAAATAAACCCACAACTTTATAGTCAATATTCAACAGAGGAAGCCAGCACTTACAATGGGCTAAAGATAGTTTATTCAGTAAATGGTGCTGGGAAAATTGGACAGATAATGGGCAGAAAAATGAAACTAAACCTTCTTCTTACACCACACACAATAATTTCCAAATGGATCAAAGGCTTAAATTAAATGTTAGACCTGAATCCATAAAAATCCTAGAAGAAAACATAGGCAATAAAATCTTGGACATATGTAGTGGCAATATTTTTTCTGATATATCATTCTGGCCAAGGTAAAACAAAACAAAACAAATGGAACTATATCAAATTAAAATGTTTTTGCATAACAAAGGCGACCATCAACAAAATGAAAAGACAATACACTCAAAAGAAGAACATATTCATCAATGATACATATGATAAGGGGTTAATATCTAAAGTTTATAAAGAACTCATAAAACTCAATATCAAGAAAACAAGCAATCTAATTAAAAAATGGGCAAAGGACCTAAATAGACATTTCTCTGAAGAGGACATACAGATGACCAAAGACACATGAAAAGATGCTCACCATCACTAATCAACAGAGAAATGCAAATTAAAACCACAATGAGGTATCATCTCACGCCTATCAGAATGGCTATCACCAACAAATCAACAAACAACTAGTGCTGGCAAGGAGGTGGAGAAAGGGGAACTCTTTTTCACTGCTGGTAGGGATGCAGATTGGTGCAGCCACTATGGAAAGCGGTATGGAGATACCTCAAAAAATTAAAAATAGATCTGCCTTTTGACCCAGCAATCCCACTTCTGGGAATATATCCAAAGGAACCCAAAACATCTACTCAAAAGGACAAGCACTTCTATGTTCATTGTATCATTAGTTACAATTGCCAAGATATGGAAGCAGCCCAAGTGTCCATCAGTAGATGAGTGGATAAAACATTTCTGGGACATTTACACAATGGAATACTACTTGGCCATAAAAAAGAAGAGAAGTGTATCCTTTGTGGCAGTATGGATGGACCTGGAGAACATTATTCTAAGTGAAATAAACCAGTCAGAGAAAGGGAAATACCATATGATTTCACTGATGTGTGGAATCTAATAAACAAAGTGAACTAACAAGGAAAATGAGGACAGACACATAGATGGAGGGCTGAATGACAGCTAGTTGGGGAGCAAGCGGGGGGTGGAGGGATTGAGCAAAATGGAAAAAGAACTCATGGACATGGACAACAGTGTGGTGATTGCTGGGGGGAGTGGGATTTAAATGGACTAAATGTTAATGAAAGAAAAATATAATAAAGATTAATTAAAAAATAAAAAAGGTTATACAAAGATTTGATGAATTTGGGTATTTATGACAGTGAGAATTATATATTTGGTTGGCCAAAAAGCGCATATGGTTTTTTCCATAAAATAAAACACATAGTTTTCATTTTTAACAATAACTTTATTGATTTGGATATTTTGAGTATGTTGGCTATCTCCTGTGCAGTATAACATTGATTGTTTTCAATTAATGTCTTCATTTGATTGCTATCGACTTCAACTGGTCTACCTAATCATGGAGCATCGTCCAGTGAGAAATCTCCAGTACGAAACTTCACAAACCACTTTTGAAACGTTTCATAAGTCACAGAATCTTCTCCATACAGTGCAAATTTTTCTGCATTTCAGTTGCAAAATAATAAAGCATAGTATGCTAAAAATCTTGCATACTTTCTTCCATTTTGAATATTAAAATGGCTATACAAAAATTCACCAACTAGAGATAAATTGATGTAACTTTTACTTTGTAGCTCTGTAGCTCTGTAATTGCAAGGTACGTTTAAAAATTTCAACACCTATGGGAGTACTTCTTACAGCCTAGTACCTGTACGAGGGACTGGGGACACAATAATGAACCAGACAGACATGGGTCTGCCATCATGAAGATCACAATGTAATAGACGGGCTGAGAGTCAAAGAACACCAATATGGAGAGATTGAAGAGTTCACAGCTGGATGCAGGGAGGACAGTAAGAACTGATGCAATAAATTAGACAGAAGGAGATGACAGCCTGGGTAAAGATAGTGGCTGTGGGGCTAACAAGTGGAAAACTAGAAAGATCCAGAAGTAAAACCAACAGGGCTTGGCTGTTAAAGAGTCAAAGACTACAGTGAGGTTTGTCTTGAACATAATGAGATGGAGAAAAAGGAGGAGGTGGTTGGGGGAGAAAGCAGATGAGTTCACTTGCAGACTTGCTGGGCCTGTCTTGTTTATAGGATATAAGGAGGCTCTATCTAGTAGACAGATGGATGTATAAGTCTGAACTTTTAGAGAAATCTGTGCTATAGACTGAATGGGAAGATAGCCAGAAACAAAAACCATGAAAAAGGGTGTGGTTGAACAGGAAGAAGTTAGCCCAAGAAAGGATCTTGAAGGATCAAGAACAGTCTTAAAGAAGGAGAAAAAGAGATTAGAGGAGCAAACTAGGAGAGTAGTGTCACAGAACTGATTCCTTTCCTATTCAGGTGTCACTATAATCTATTTTCCTAAAGGGAGTTTCTCTTTGGGCATCTTACAAATTGAGGAGAGCTGTATAAACAAAATGTTTACAAGTATTTTATAATACAGTCTAGCTATAAATCAAAATTAATGTATTTTTATAGTACACATTAAAAACATTAAAAAAACATTAAATAAAATAAACATAAAGGAAGTTTGGGAATAAATGATATCAGATAATAATTGATGTTTTCATCACATAATACCTTATCTTTGAACCCATAATTAAGACAATAGAAACTTGAAGTAAAACTATAATCTTTATTCTAAAACATGTATATATATTATAATTCATAGAGTATTTTGACCAAAATCGTATTTAATTCTTACATAAAAGCCATAATGAAGGTTTAGAGGAATTTCATCCTTCTTTTGCTGACAAAGAAATAGAGAGCTAAAGACACTTTCCTAAAACCACAGTCTAGAGATTGGCAGAGTTCTTTCCTCTTTGCCATGATGCTCTTGTAGTTCAGTATGATACAGAAAAAGAATTTCTTATACTATGAATGTCAAGAACAAATTTCAAGTAAGTGTGTGTGTGTGTGTGTGTGAGAGAGAGAGAAGGAATGAGAACTTCATGAACTATCTTAACTTTGCAACATTATACCATTATTTTTCACTAAGATGGTTGTATAAAGACAATTTTTCAAGTGGATGACTCCAGACCATGAGTGTGGCAAGCAGTTGACTCACCTAATCTGCTACGTCTAATCTCTTCTGGTGAGACAGGCCGCAGCTTTCTTTCTGCTTTGATTTCTTCTAGTATTCTTTCATGGAGGCTCCGTGGCCGTGGTGGAGTGGGTTTTAGTTTTCTGGCAGAGGCCTTGAAAAAAAACATAATGGTTGAAGACTTTGAGTAGTTGTCCTTAAATAATTTTAAGTCCATTCATACAGTACTGTATTATGAAATTATATTTTATTGATTGCAGCACTATTTTTTCTCATCATTTTTATTATTTAAAAAGGTAATGACAGCAGTACTGTATATTTTACAGCTTCCTTTTATAAAAAATGTTTTGTTTATGCTATTACCCCAATTTCCCCCTCATTAGTCCCCCCTCCCCTTAGGCCCTGCCTTCCCAGTCAATCCCCACACCATTGTTCATGTCCACAGGTGATGCATGTGCTCTTTGTCTAATCCCTTCCCCTTCTTTCACCAGTCCCAACCTCCCCTCTCCCCTCTTACAGCTGTCAGTTTGTTCATTGTTTCTGTGCCTCTGATTCTATTTTGTTCATTAGTTAATTTTGTTCCATAGATTCCAGTTATAAGTGAGATCATATGCTATTTGTCTTTCATTGCCTGGCTAATTTCACTTAGAATATTCTCCAGTTCCATCCATGCTGTCGCAGAGGATAAGAATTCCTACATTTTTACTGCTATGTAGTATTCCATTGTGTAAATGTACCACAGCTTTTTAACCACTCATCTACTGAGGGACACTTAGGCTATTTCCTTGGATATTGTATATAATGCTGCTGTGAACATAGGGGTGCAGATATTCTTTTGAATTGGTATTTTGGGATTCTTTGGATATATTCCCAGAAGTGGAATTGCTGGGTCAAAATGCAGTTCCATTTTTAATTTTGTGAGGACTCTCTACTGTTTTCCAGAGTGGATGCACCAGACTGTATTCCCAACAGTGCACTAGAGTTCCCTTTTCTCCACAGCCTCACCAGCACTTGTGGTTCATTGATGTATTAATGATAGTCATTTTGGCAGGTGCGAAGTGATACCTCATTGTGGTTTTAATTTGCATTTCTCTGATGGCAGGTGATTTTGAGCATTTTTTCATATGTCTATGGGCAATCTGTATGTCCTTGGAGAAGTGTCTATTCAGGTCTTTTGCCTATTTTTTAATGTATTGTTTGTCCTGGTGTTGATTTGTATGAGTTCTTTATACATTTTGAAGATTAAACCTTTGTCCGATGTATCACTGGCAAATATGTTCTCCCATATGATCGGTTCCCTTTTCATTTTGATGATGGTTTCTTTAGTTGTGTAGAAGCTTTTTAATTCGATGTAGTCCCATTTGTCTATTTTTCCCTTTATTTGCTTTGCCCTAGGAGAGATATATCAGCAAAAATATTGCTATGTGGCATATCTGATATTTTGCTGCATATATTTTCCTCTAGTACTTTTATAGTGTCATGACTTATATGTTCTTATTCCATTTTGAGTTTATTCTGGTGTATGCTGTAAGATGGTGGTCTACTTTCATTTTTTTACATGTACAGTTCAGTTCTCTCAACACCATTTATTGAAGAGACTGTCTTTACATCATTGTATGCTCTTGCCTCATTTGTCAAATATCAATGGACTACAAAGGCATAGGTTTACTTCCGGTCTCTCTGTTCAGTTTCACTGATCTATGTGTCTGTTCTTATGCCAGTACCAGACTGTTTTGATCACAGTGTCCTTACAGGATAGATAGATATCATGTATTATAATCCCTCTGACTTTGTTGTTTTTTCTCAGGATTGCTGAGGCTCTTCTGGGTCTTTTTTGGTTCCATATAAATTTTTGGAATATTTGTTTTAGATCTGTGAAATATGCCACAGGTATCTTAATAGGAATTGCGCTGAATCTGTAGATTGCTTTGTGTAGCACAGACATTTTAATGATGTTAATTTTTCTAATCCATGATCACAGTATATTCTTTCACTTATTTGCATCTTCTTCAATTTCTTTCCTCAGTGTCATATAGTTTTCCAAATACAGGTCTTTTACTTCCTTGGTTAAATTTATTCCTGGACACCTCTATTTTTGCAGCAGTAAATGGGACTGTTTTCTTAATTTCTTTTTCTGATAGTTCATTATTGGTGTAAAAAAATGCCATCAATTTCTGAGTATTGATTTTGTATTCTGCTACTTTGCCAAATTCATTTATTAGGTCTAGTGTTTTTTTGGTGGATCCTACAGGGTTTTCTATGGACAGTATCATGTTGTTTGTGAATAATCACAGTTTTACTTCCTCCTTTCCAATTTGGATGTCTTTTTATCTCTTCTTATCTGATTGCTGTGGCTAGAACTTCCTATACTATGTTGAATAAGAGTAATGAAAGTGGACATCCCTATCTTGTTCCTAATCTTAAAGGAAACGCTTTTAGTTTTTGACCATTGAGTATGATATTGGCTCCAGACTTTTCATATATGGCATTTATTACATTAAGGTATGATCCTTCTATTTCCACTCTGTTGAGAGTTCTTATCATAAATGGGTGCTGAACTTTATCAAATGCTTTTCCTGATGGCAACACTATTGATAAAATACTATTTTTAAGTCATTATCAAGATTCCTAAAGCAATAGGGAGATTGCTGAATTTCAGTTATTTAGTTGTATGTTCTCAACTAATTTTAAAAAGACGATTTTCTGAAGTAACAGTTATGTCCCCTGTATGCAAGCATGACAAGCAATCAACTGAAATGCAAAGCTATACTTTGATGTTATTATGGCTTTTGAAACTAATATTTTTAAGTCATCACAACCTTCTCAGGTTATTATTATTATCTTCATTCTACAGTTGAATAAAGAAAGGCTCCAGCAGGCTGATTAACTTGCTCAGAGACATGTGGTTGCTAAATTTTCTAGCTAGTGTATAAATACAGGTCCACTTGGCTCCATGCTCTCTGTTCTCTACCAAGACCTGCATTCTTAAAATTATTTTCTAGGTGGCCTCTTTCCCTTCTTTTAAAAAGATTTATACAAGGGATCATTAATTATGCTCCAGACATATACAAACTAGGATAGAAACACCATTTCCGTCCAGGTTAATAAATGTACACAGGTTTACGAGGTTTTGGTGTGCACTTGCTATATTGAGTGAAGAGGAAAAGAGGTAAGGAACAAAGGAAACACAAACAAACCAGATTAAAATATTCTGATTCCATGGTCATTAGAAACAACTCCGTTAACAGAGGAAGATAATTAAAATGTACGTAACAGTAGGGTGGATTTATTGTAAAATAGTATTGAAATGACAATTTAATCATGGAGGTTATCAGCACTATAAAGTAAACTAGAAGGGCAAGTAATCCATACCAGGAACAATTCGGTGTTATATTTAGCCACTATTCTAGGAAGTATTTGTCCAGATTTTGCACCATATTTCAGGTTGTTCTGAATTAAAACACCCTAAAATAGCCTTGTATTAAACAAATGTTAAGTATTTTCCTGTGACTTAAATGTAATCTACAGTTGGGAGTCATTATTCTGAGAATAAATGCTTAGTGTAAAATTGAACCACTTTAGGAGCCAAGATCTAGAGATAACACCCAACAGGAGAATAATTCATTCTGTGAACTCCAATCAAAATCAAAAGGAATGTATCAAATTACATACTGGATTTAAAGGAGGTCTTGATCTGATGAAGTCCAGAATGATTTCATGAGCACTTTTTTTTAACCGAGGAGGAATATCACCATTCACCTGAAAAAAAGACAAAAAGTAGAAGATTCATCCGATTATAGCAGTGATTTTCAACCTGTGTACTGCAAGAACCTTTAAAACACACAACACCTGACTATTTAGTCTGGGACACTCATCTCTTTTCCCTCAGATTGTCAAATAAAAAAACGACAACAGCCAAAACAACAATGGCCATCCAGTGTACATGCCTTGTCTTAAATCATAAATATATGTCATGTGATAGAGTTGCACCTTATTGGTCACATTGTATAGTAAGGTTGCATCTGACTGGTTAATTCCTGGTACCAGACATCCTTTATATAAGTATAAGCACCTGTTTTGTTTTTTTTTTAATCCTCACTGGAGCACATACTTATTAGTTTTAGAGAGAGATGAAAAAAAGGAAAGCAAGAGGGAGAGAAACATAGGTGTGAGAGAGAAACATCAACTGGTTGCCTGTCACATGTGCCCTGACCAAGGTCTGAACCCGCAACTTAGGTATGTGCTCTGACTGGGAATTGAACTTGCGACCTTTTGGTTTTTGAAAGGATGCTGCAACGAACTGAGCCATACTAGCCAGAGCTAGGCACCTGATTTTTTAAAAAGTCACTTTGGACCAAAAGGGGGTGATTACTATTTTTTGTAAATCAATTAAAATTATATCTATTTTTTTATCAGATTGGCAAAAATATATTTTTTGGTGTGCTATAGAATTTTAGTAAATAGTTTATTTGTGCCATGAGATGAAAAAGGTTGAAAATCACTGGATTATCATTATAAATTTCTGGGTATAGCTGCTATCTCAACATGTCATGAAATTACTGAAGTTATCTGTCCTATAGTTATGTAACCTGTCTATGCTGACAACGCATTTCAAATCATTAAAATGGAAAGTAAATGGCTGTGTGATTTAAAACAAAAACAACTTTTGTAGAATTGAAGAAAATCCAGGTTCACTTCAGTTCTATCATTTTGGAAAATTATCTATAAGATACATCCCTTCCAACAAAAAGTTTCTAAAATTATAAGTGTGAATGGAATACTATGCTTATTAATTATTTTATAATTTAAAATATCTTTTATCTCTTATTTTTATCCTTGTACAAAACCTAGGTAATAGGAAGGACTGATGATTTGATTCATATTCTGTAGCTAAAACTCAGGCTAAGAGCAAAAAGGGTATCCACTACATTCACAGAGCTAGTAAGTGCAAGAATTTTTGTAGAGTTCAGGTCAGTCTCTCATTCCTGTTCTTATGCCCTCTTTTTTGGAAGTAGTGTATTACCAAAAAAAAGTTTAAAAAGAAACTTAAGAAAACCCCAGAATCCCACAAAAATATAACAATCTAAACATTCCTTCTGACCACTCAAAAGGCACAGTTGTGACTATTTGTCATATTTATTTTCCAATCTCATATAAAAAACTCCATAACACTTTTTCCCTCTACTTTTGGTGAACTACTCTTTGATTACTTCATCATATTCTAATAATTTTATACATTTTATTGGAGAAAACAATAATTTTGTTATTCCTCTAGCATCAATGTTTGATTTTTTTATTTTAACAGGTTAGACATATTCTTTATGCTTCACAATTTGTTACTGAAAATGTCATGTAAAATTTTAGAATTCTTAAAAAATTTGATTAAATATTTTTCAAGTATTTTCTTATCTGCATTTTAAGATTTCTTGTATACTTGCCAATCTTAAATACTATTTAATTGCTCACAGTCCATAATCAGTTGGTCATTAATTATGAGTTTTGATTTTTTGGTCAATGTCACTATTTTGTGTCAACTAGGAAATAAAATAAAAAAAATGAAAAAACCTGAGCTGCTGCTCCCAGGCTCCATCCCCTCCCCAAATGAGGTTACCCTTTTTGATTTCAGGGTGTTTAATCAACCTGGACATCTACTGCCCTCTTTTTCCCTGTGTTCCTCCTTCTGGCCTCAAATGAGGACAGGATGGCCCTCTGGCAAGATTCATGTATAAAAGCTGCTTGAGCCCAGTCAAGCCTGTGACTGCTAGGACTTGGTTTAAGGAGGGCATGCAACCAGCAGCAGAGCTGTAGGCCTATGTGGCACCACCCGTACCTGTGGATTTTATGTTACATAAGATATTTTTTAAAAATCTTACTGTATGAAACAATTTAATCAGACTTTTCCATTACTTTCTATTCTACTCCTGAACAGGACAGTATATATCTTTCTAGCTATTTTTCATATGCTTTTACTTTAATGTTCTTTCCATCAAAACAGATAGCTTGAGAGAATGGACTAAATAAGGCCATGGTTCTAAGTTCCAGTCCCCAAACAAGAGCATTAACTTCAGTTTCCTCATTAGTCAGAAACTGTATCTTGGATCCCAATTACAAAATGTGCACCAATGCTCATGAGGGTGATAGCATGACAATATGGATGTGAGTCAGTGCAAGTTGTGACTAGTAGGAGGAAAAAAACTGTGCAAATACCATTCTACTGCTGGATTGGTGAAGTTACATACTTTCTTCATACAAATACAGAACACAACCTGAAACAAACTCTCTGAGCTGCAATGATAAATGATTTCTACAAGAATACAAACAAGGGTCACTGGTTTGATTCCTAGTCAGGGCACATGTCTGGGTTGTTGGCCAGGTCCCCAGTAGAGGGGTATGCAAGAGGCAACCACATATTGATGTTTCTTTCCCTCTCTTCCTCCCTTCCCCTCTCTCTAAAAATAAATAAATAAAATCTTAAAAAAAAAGATTACAAACAGTAGACCCAGAAGTAAATCAGATCAGTTGTAGAACTTGATCTTACTTTTGAGACACATACCTTAAACAAATAACTTTGAAATAAGAGATGTTAAGTTTCTACATCTTTGTTCTTAAAGGTGAGTTATTTGTTATAATTAATGCGTTTTACTCAGACATTTTAGAAAAGTCAACTGAAATGCTTTACATATCTATAACTCAATATTCTGAATAATATCTATATGGCCAAGCCATTCAATTTCCACTATCAGCACCACAAATATACAGAAAAACGTGGATTACTATAGTATAGTAACGTAGTTTAAACCAGAGGATTAAATTTAAAACATCTCAACAAACTACTTCATGTACGGATATACCATGTGTAAAAATCCTTTGCATTTGTACTTTACAAAAATATTTGCTATTAAAACAATTAGGAAGCAGCATTATATTAATGACAGCATTTAAAAAAATACTCAGTTTTTGAATGATTTAAATGATTAAATGTGAGTAGCTGAGTTTCCATTCTCATTTATCATAAACACACACACACACACACACACACACACACACACACACACACACACCCCCACCCCCCCCCAAATAAACTAATAAAAATCTTAGCCTGTTAGTCTAAAACTTAAAAACTTCCCCAAATGACATGGATTAACACTAGAACCTCCAGATGCCCAGTCCCCTGCACAGAGGCTCCATATATATTTACTCAAGTGAACTGTACAGGATTAGCTACAGACAGAAAATGGAAAATAACAATGGCTACTACGAAGCAGAAACACGTATCCATTTTTCTTCACTTCCTACCCACAGCCCCCAAATTGAAAACATATTATTTATATGTAAACATACCAAGCTGAAGTGATGAGCAGATGCATCACTGATAATCACAAAACATTTAGAAAACCACCTATTATTTTGAAACTCTCAGAGCCCTCTCTGAACAAAAGGTTTAAATAACTTGATCCTTGAAAAAGCAACATATATTTTTTCTATTTTTGTCTTAAGCAGATCCACTAATGATGACATAAGTCCACAACCAAAAATGTACAAAGCCAATGTATAGTCTAGTGATTAATACTAGGCACCTAAACAAAATTTCCACCTAGCTTTATTCTGATAAAACTAACAAACAAAAATTGTATATATTTAAGGTACATTCCCAAGAAATTTCAAGTACTTTATACAGTGTTATTAACTATAGTCACCATGCTATTCATTAGATCCCCAGAACTTACTCATCTTATAACTGCAAGTTTGTATTCTTTGACCAATATCTCCCCATTTCTCCACCTCACGGTGATGTCATACAGTATTTGTTTTTCTGAGTCTGGCTTATTTTACCTAGCATAATGTGCTCCTGATATACCTATGTTGTCGCACGTAAAAAAACTCACATGTAAGTGAACCAGCATAATTCAAATCCATGTCATCGAAGGGCCAAAGGTACACCTTGAAGTGGAATTGCTGGATCATATAATATTTCTATTTTTTAATTTCTTTTTTTAGGAGCCTCCATACTGTTTTCCATTGTAGCTATACTAATTTACATGCCACCAACAGTGTACAAGGGTTCCTTTTTTTTCACACCTTAGCAACACTTGTTTTCTCTCATCTTTTTGTAGATATCCTAACAAGTGTGAGCTGATGGTTCACTGTGGTTCTGATTTGCAGATCCCTGATGACTAGTGATGTTGAGTGTCTTTTACTTATGCTTATTGGCTATTTGTACGTCTTGAGGTCGTTTGTCCATTTTTAAATTGTTTTTGTTTGTTTGCTACTGAGTTCTATGAGTTTATTATATATTTTGGATATTAATCTCTTATCAGGTATAAGGTTTGCCTGATAATCAAATTTCAAAAAGGTTTCTTTTAATTAAAAGAAAAAACAAGTATCTCTAACATTGATGCAAACTGCCCTATATACACAGAGCAGTTACAAATCAGGAAGTCTAAAAACAAAAAAAAGAAGAAAAAAAATGAAAAAGAAAAATGCACATAGAAGATATAAAACTACTGCAACTAGGAAAAACTGCATAATGCTTACTATGTTCCAAACACTTGTTATGAATTTTTATCTTGGAACTTGAAAAAATATCTCATTTGAAGAACACAAGAACCTTATAGTGTAGGTACTATTACTACATTCCAAAAATGAGAGGTCTAAGGCACAGAGAAGTTAAGTAACATGACCGAAGTGTCATTGAGTTAATGGCAGAACTAAGATTTAAACATAGTTACCTAATTTCCAAAGTAAATGCTCTTAAGCGT